ACTCCCTCAGTACTGATTCTTTGGCAATACAGCAGAGCAGTACATTAAAAGTAATTTCCTCGCACCTTCTTCTCTTCCTTTGGACTTGTGTCACTCAAACCAGCCTGGAAAGAAAGAACCAGAACATTTTTACATTAGAGATATTAGGAACTGCAGATGCTGGAAAATCTGAGATAACAAGGTGTAGAGCTCGATGAACACAGCAGGCCAAGCAGTGGTTGTCAGACATGAAAATATATTTGACATCAGTAGATGGTGAGGATGCAGTCAGTCAAAACATGGTAAGACTACTGTAGCCTGTTGGTCACTGCGAGTAAAACAGCACTTTTTTGTTCATATGAGAAATGCCCACTAACACTGTTCACATTAATATTTTAGAAATTTAGAGAGTCATGTACCTTTCAGCACTCAGTCTATCTGATCTGATTTAGTGATCTGTAATAGCATTCACCGGGCACAATCAGAACAGTGCAGCACTCACTCAGCACTGACCCTCTGACAATGCGACACTCACTCAGTATTGATCCTCTGTCAATGCGGCACTCACTCAGTACTGACCCTCTGACAGTGCGACACTCCCTCAACACTGACCCTCCGACACTGCGGTGCTCCCTCAGTACTGACCCTCCAACACTGCGGAGCTCCCTCAGCTCTAACCCTCCGACACTGCGGCAATCCCTCAGTACTGACCCTCCAAAACTGTGACACTCCCTCAGCATTGACCTTCCGACAGTTTGGCACTCTCTCAGCACCGACCCTCTGACAGTGCGGCACTCCGTCAGCACTGAGCCACCAACACTGTGGCACTCCCTCAGCACTGACCATCTGACACCGCAACACTCCTTCAATACTGACCCTCCGACAGTGCGGCACTCACTCAGTACTGACCCTCCGACACTGCAGCACTCCCTCAGCAGTGAACCTCCGATAGTGCGCCACTCCCTCAGCTCTAACCCTATGACACTGCGGCGCTCCCTCAATACTGATCCTCCGACAGTGTGGCGCTCCCTCAGCACAGACCCTCCGACACTGTGACACTCCCTCAGCACTGACCCTTGTGCGGCGCTCCCTCAGTACTGACCATCTGACACTGCAAAACTCCCT